AATAATAATAATAATAAAAAATATTATATAATCCAGCACTTGTAAAATCCATCGCTTCAATAGGAGTGAGTAAAGCATCTGCTTAATTTCTCATGGCCACCAATGGGAAATATGCTTAACATTGAAAGGATAAAGGCATTATAGCCAAATCTCATATATATATGTAAATTTTTCCGTTGGTAATTATAAAGTGAAAAAATATATATTCAGAGTTTAGCTTGGATTATCTGGCAGGAGTCCTATATGATCATGACTTTGTGTGTAAATAAAGTATGTGTATCTGAGCTGTATAGGTATGTGAAATTATTCAATAGGTTCCTTAGTCATGGTCCCTAAATATCCTTATGTTGACTACTTAGCTACTTCTACTTTTGCGTTATTCCAGATACATTATTCACAGCCAATATATAATTTATCAATTGATTTGCTAATTCAGGGATTTTTGTGTAGTATTATTCACACGATAGTTTGCCACAGTAGCTAATGGCAAATGCATATACAGTAAAAAAAAAAAAATCAAAGATATCGATCTGGGTAAAACAGAAACAGCCAAAATAATGATAGCTGAAAATAGAATAGGAAGGTAGACCACCAAACAGCTTATGCAAGTGAGTCTCAGGGGAGTTTTCCTGGAATTAATGTTCCAGAATGAGGTTTCCACAGCTGAAATGACACTGTACAGACCACCACTAACATAGTATCTATAATTGGGACATTTAGTAGCCCCGATGTTTTGTTTCGAAGAGTCACAAAGAGTCGGAAACAAACGAATAAACAACGAAGACCATGTTTTGTTTTGGTTTTGAATTTGGTTTTAGGGTGTATGTTTATCTCAAATTCCCTTTGACATTTTCTGTATTTACATGAAATCTAGGGTCATGGTTCTTTACGCCTGCCATTCTTAACAGGGGTATATATTTCCAGCAATGGACGTTTTCCATGGATTTTACCGATTCATCAGTGTATTGATAGGGTTATTATATGGTTACTTAATGGGTGGCAATGGACTCAGTTGAGAGCGGAATAAAGTGTTTCGTGTTCTATTCTCAGTTGAGAGAGAACAGAAACATTCTTATCTAGTTTCCTGACTGAAGTCTCCTCTAGATTTTCAAACTTATTATCCGTATCATCCAAAATCAATCCCTTAATAATAGCATTTTTTACTGAAACATCTCTTCAGATATGAACCACCAATAGCAGCAGCAAGAAATTTTATAGCTGTGGAACTGGTTCTACTTCCAGCACCAGCTTAGCTGTCGGTTTGTATTGGCCCTTTGTTTTACATATTGCAATATTTTTGTTTTAATTTCTGTGATTTCCTCATACATCCCACAGGATGTTTAACCACAAATAGCCATGCATTATGCAGTTATTCAGATCTGTTCAACTTGGTGCACAAATAGACATAGTATTGAAAAAGTTATTGTAAATTGCCTGTGTTAGTAAAAATATTGCACACCTATGGATTTTGTTTTATTTCTATGAATGAATATGGCTGCTTTCTTTTTTGGAAGTACTTATTTCAAAGTTGCCTTATACTGTAAGCTGTGTGAGACATATAGTTGTTCTAGTCGAAACAGTACTGAGAAGTTTTTAGTTTTGTTTTATCTCTATGAATGAGCATCGTTGCTTTCTTTTTTGGAAGCACTTATTTCAAAGTTGCATTACAATGTAAGCTGTGTGAGGCATAGTTGGAACAGTACTGAGACCTTTTTAGTACTGAATAAGTGTCTATTATCAAGAAGGCGGGTTATTGGTATTTATAGCAGCATCAATAGCATCAAGAGTTGTAGGTTAGTAGGAATGGTATCAGATGGAAATGTTAAGTGTTAAAAAAATCTTAACTGTAGCATTACATTAACTATTACACAAGTTGCTCAACCTGCTTCTGTTTCATGACTAAAATATTTGAAGCAGTCCTTTGGTTATTCAAAATCTTGAAAAATTAGTGTACAGTGGTGCCTCGCTAGACTGTTACCCCGCATGACAGGTTTTTTTTTGCTAAACATTGACTTTTTGTGATCGCTATAGTGATTCACAAAACAGTGATTCCTATGGGGGAATTTCGCTGGAAAATGTTTGGTCCCTGCTTCGCAAACCGATTTTCGCTAGACGACAATTTTGACAGCTCCCTCCACAAGTGTTTTCGGGACCTAAGCTTCGCAAGACAGTGATTTAAACAGCTGATCGGCGGTTCGCAAAGCGGCTTTCCTATGGCCGATCTTTGCTAGACAATGACGATTCTCCCCCACTGGAACGCATTAAACAGGTTTCAATGCATTCCAATGGGGAAATGCTTTTCGCTAGACAATGGTTTCTCTAAACAGCGATTTCAGTGGAACGGATTATAATCATCTAGTGAGGCACCACTGTATCTATCTGTTACCTCCCCTATCCATGGGTAACAATGGATGGAGATGGCAAAAGGGTAAATGATATTTTTTTTCTTGTTAGCCTACCTTCTATTGTTCTTTGCAAGCCTCGTACCCCATTGCTCTAATGTATTACTCAGCTACTTCTCAAACATATTTTGTTCTCTACTTTATTAATGGAATATTTCTCCTATAAAATCTATCACAGAACTCAGTTTAATAGATCAAATTAGCAATAATACAAATCAAATTGAAAATGAGTCAGAAAGCATCCCAGATCTTTCCACACACAAGGTTTGAAATTGACACCATTGCTCTTTCAGAACAGTAGGGAATGATCTCTGCCTGGCATTACAGAGAATTTTTAACAATCGAGATAAGAAAAATACAAGAATGGACAACACAGACTGGAAATCCAACCCAATTTCATAAGCTCGTAATAAAAATGGGTCAACTTTTACTTCTTCTTAAAAGATCTGTATAAGTTTAAGAGCATAGAATCAGCTATGCTGGATCTTTCTGGATAGATCTATGCCTGGACTATGCTGTAATACCTGGACTCTATGATGCAATAGCACCCTTTCATTCATGTCCATCACAAGTAATATTCAGAGCTACAATGGCTAAGGTGCTAGAGATAAAATACAAATATGAGAAGTAGACTTAAGTGTTTGTCTGCTCTCTTTTAAGTTGGCAGTCATCACTACACCTTCCTGCAGTGAATTCTGTACCTGTCCTTCTTTTCCCATTTTTCTATTTTATTTGATGACCATGATGTCTAATATTATGGAAGAGGAGAAAATATGTCCCCTCCAACTATTTTTCCATGGCATGGATATTTTTATTATCCTCATCAAGCCTTTTTTTCCTGTAAGCTAACGAACACTGTAATCTTTCCTCAAAGTGGAGTTTCCAAAGCTCTTGACATTTGAAATCCTTTTACTGATGCATAAATTCCTCTGATGCCCAGCATGTTAATTAACATTTGTGTCATATTTAACATGGAACATTGATTCCAAAACAGCTATTTGCAGATGGAGATAATCTTCACAAACACAATCTTCCTTAAGGTGAACATGGACTCACCATATTCCATTTTCTTTCCTTTTTGTGATGAAACACAGTGTATACACTTTACGCATATAGATAATATTTAAATGTCTCAAAAGTAGTTCCACTCTGAAAAGTGACTGCAGAAGTAGCAAACATTTACTAACAGCTTGGCTTTTTCAAAATATTTTTTGCTGATCGCAGGTATTTGAATAATGTTTATCTATTTTTCCTCCTTCATAGTTTTGCATACTCAACAAAAAAACTTAGTCAACATAAAGCTATCTGAATTTCTTTTTCAGATGTTTGAAGTCCATAAGTATATAGAGCTTCACTCCCTGCTTTAAGGCTCAAATGGATCTAAGATTTCTCTTTTTAAAAGATACACTATTTGCACTTTTGCAATGGTACTCAAGTTTTAAAAATGTAATATATGAACACAGAGATCTTTTAACTACCCTAAGGGACTACTTTCAGAACTCTTATCATGGATAATTATATACATAACATTTTAATATGATGATACACACAATCACTTTTGCAGCTTAGGAACTAGATGTCTAGTGGTGGAGCATGAAGAAAAATACATTCCAGCTAAAGGCAGATCTTTGAAGATTTGTATTAGAAGTCCCAATTTCTTTCTAAAATTCACATTAACTGCACAAGTCTTTTTTTTTTACTCCATGCTGAAATTCATTGTCTAAAGATGTTATTGAAAGCTTCTCAAGTGGGGTAACTTTCCTCTAGACAACAGAGCAGAAAGGTTTTAAAAACCTCCTCTTGATCTGGATCTTTCTCATTCAAAGACTACTTCAGGTAATGCATTCCTTAGATATAGAAAATTAACTTCTCCTTTGAGCCTCACTGTATGTGAAAATAGAGCCAAGTATTATTAGCTACCACTTTTCCTGACTAATTATAAAAACTCCTAGTTCATAGTGAGTTGTCTGAGGATGTCATTTTACTATAATCAAAATCAGACGTTTACATGATAATCCAAAATGGAGTCATGACCCATGTAGCTCAAAAATGTACTAAAAACTACAGGCTAAAGTTCTGGCATTGAAACCAGAAAAATCTCTGTGTGGAAGCAGCCTTCATGATAAACTGCTATAACGCTGGAAAAGCATAATGATAATAATTACTAGAAGAATCCTGTTTGCTTATGATTAACAAGTAAAACAATCCATTCACCACCATCAAAAAGTCATGATGATGTGTGCACCCTGTTAGGAACAATGTTTCAAAACAAACACTAAAGAAACAGCTGTCTATGAGGAGTAGAAGTTATGGGTGAGCGGGTGCTTTAGACAAACATCTTCTGAAGTCCTTTTTCGTACCTGAACACTGTATTTGAATGGGTTGCTACAAATACCCCTAGGGCTCATTTTGTTATTAAATATATTTGGCTGGTTATTCGACTGATATTTGCCTAGTGTGTGATCTTTTTTCATGTATTATGTCACCATCATCATCATAATCATCACTACCATCATCATCATCACCACCATTTGGTGTTACCATTGATAGATTTTAATTACATTTTAGCAAGAATTTCTAAAGAAAAAAACTGTTCAAAAGGTAGCGTCAAAAGACCTGCTCTTTCTGACCATTTCACTGCTACCGGATTAATATCATCCTGGTAGGTTCAATTCTCATATTAACGGCATTTTTGTATGATGGTTTAAATTCATGTTTATTTATATATTATGTATTTATTTATTACCTGTTAATTATGACTCATCAAATCAGAAGGGACTCATAGCAACCTTAAGAAGGCTTTCAAGGTAAGTAAGATATTTAAGGAGTGGTTTTGTACCCCAATGAGTCTCCATAGACACATAAGGGATTCAAATTCTGTCTCCAGAGTCCTTGTTCATCACTTTATCCACTATACCACACTCTCTATCTAAAACATCTTTAGGCATTTATTGGGTCCTTTTAAGGAGAAAAGTGGGGTAAATATATTTTTAATAAATAAATAAGATAAATAGTCATTAAATATATATATTTCTGGAGAATGTATACATGGATTTAGTGGAACTGCCCTTTTCAAAAATCAAGTTACATTTTCTGTCTTGAATTGAATATGTAGATAATCTGGAAAGACCTTTTCGGTCTTCAAAGGAAAGCTAAATTTAGCAGAGTAAGCCAAGAAGTCAGCAAATTTCTTTTTCCCATTGTTGAATTTTTTTCTCTTAGGTCAGGTGACAAACCTGTTCCAGTGGGAAAAGAAGTTCCCTACTTCTTTCTTTCTTTCTTTCTTTCTTTCTTTCTTTCTTTCTTTCTTTCTTTCTTTCTTTCTTCTTTCTTTCTTTCTTTCTTTGACTTCTGTACCACCCACCCAGCTGCAACAATATATTTTTCCTTATTATTACCTAGTGGTCAAATTGGTAAGTCAAACTAGTTGGCAATAAGATGCCCTGAAACCACCAAAATGAAACATATATGTGTGTGCCATATCTAGTGCAAGGCCATAGCCATTCATAATCTTTAACTCTTGAGATGGAGAATATTCATTGGAAAAAATAGCTATTTTGTATTAAAACGTTTACTTCTAAATGATGATTCTGCATAAGTACATAACTTATATGTAATATATAATGTAATATAATATAATATATAAAAGTATTATAGAACTAAGCTAAATCCTAAATTTCAGGGATAGGAATGAATCATATGGAGAGACTGCGGAATTTAAATGTGTTAACAAAGAAAATGCATTCCAGGGAATGCCAGTTTCGTACAGAGTCACTGTTCAGAGTCCAACTAAACTTTCACATTCACCATGCAGACTGTGTAAGAAATACTGTACTGAATACAATTAAAAGCTTAGATATGGGAACAATATTGAAAACACACACAAACAACACAGACAGCACAAACTTCACTCTTGCACTAGAAGAAAGTAACAAAAAGGAGTACACTCACAGATAGAAAACTTGTTGCTGTTGTCTTTCCCTGGAAACAATTTAAATCCTCTAGATTTAAAATCTATGGCCTTTTTCACTAGTTAAGAAAACAAACAAAAAGACATATCAGATAATACAGTCTAGCAAGAGTTCATTCAATTGACAGTTCTGTTTATCATGGAGGTGCAAATTAATGGTTAATTGCTTGCCAACAGTATTGTGTTCCCACAGAGATGGAGCAAGGGGGGGGGCAATTCAAAGGAAAATTTGTTGGGTTTATTTCCCAAAACAAAAGGCAAATATTAAATTAAAATGTACAGGAAAGAGCAAATATGCATTGGTTTCTTCCTGTACTGAATGTATGAGGCTTCTTAGGCACGATGAAAACACAGATTCTAGTTTCCATGCACCACAAACAGTCTTGTGTAGCTTTTTTATTATACTGTTAAAGAACTTAGAAAACTGAGAACACAATAGTGTTTCCAAATCCTTTTCTCATCTAACAGGCATTTATTTCCCTTATTAATGGGGATAACAGTTTTTGTCTCATTTAAAAAAAACCAAAAAACTATTGTGATATTTTCTGTAAGTTATGTTACTTTCAAGTTCAGCATTTGGATAGATCCCATCCTCTAGCAAAGTTTACTACGGGCCCAAAACTTCACCCACAAGGACATACAGGAAAGCCCTCATTCATCATCCACTAGAATATTTTTCAACAATGTTTCCAACTGCAATACTGAATGAAACACATTGATCTTAGGGTCCCCTTCCCACTTCATCTCTCTATCATTTAACTAGGATGTAACTAGAAGATTAAAATCATAACACTCTTAAAATATCAAGAAAATGAGAGCATATAAGGTGGATAGATATTTGTATGGCAGTCAGTTTCACTCATGTGTCTCTGAAAAGACTATTACAACAGATAGCCGCCAAGAGTGGTCTTAATCGACTAGATAGGCAGGATATAAATAATATAAATAATAATAATAATAATAATTCAATAGCAAGAAAAGACACAGTTAATTTTTGACATGCTGGCCAACATCCTGTTGCTCGAGTCCCATTTAAGTTCCATGGATTCAAATGGATCTAATCTAACTGTGATTTACTATGTACTAGAGTAGGCCCATTGAATCCATGAGGATAAGATTTGTGCCCCATGGTTGGCTGTGATGTTCTGTAATGACATAAACCATGGTAGCTGACAATTGACCCTCCATCCACCCATGCTTTGCTGTGTCTTTCAAATCCACTTGGTAAACATAAAATATCTAGAACTAGCAAATACTTTCCACCCTTTCTGATCTTGTACTGCCTTATGAAACATCCAAGCCATACCTGTTTCTTGCTTACATCAGTACTGACAGTCTCAAGTTCAATAGGGAGATAAGGGAATCTCCTTAATGCAATAAAATGAGAGGGGTGCTGCTGACAATGGCCAAAATCCTGTTGCTTAGCATAGTAAGTCACACTAGAGTAGGGCCATTGAATCACTGAAGGTTTGATGAGTCACCTCCTCCATAAGGTCCATTGATTCAAATAGGCCTAATCTGACTCTGAATTAATTTATCTTAGTAAATCAGAGTTAGAGTAGGCCCATGTTAATCAACAGAAATTTCAGAGGAAGTAACTCACCAAATTTCAGCTTCTTCAATGAGCTAGTGCATTATACTAAACTAAGCAATGGGATTTTGGCCACTGAAATAGACTTACAGCATAGAAAAATGACCATGCTTTAGTATGTCAGTAGAGAGCAGCTTACTACATCCAAATGTGTCAAGTGTTGGATGAATCATGAGGAGACACTAAGATGCAGCCTCAGGCCATGCTGGAGTATTATGTAGGAATATAATCTATGGCAAATTTTTGTCAG